ATGCTTAAGAACAGTGTAGATTTTAATACCTTGAAATGCATTTAATGCAGCGGTTTCGTGTGTTGTAACTGTGTACATTTTCGTGTGTGTCTGTTTTACTAAAACTATTTTTTGCAAACACAAGGCAGTCTAAAATATACATGGCTTGTACAGTTAAAATATTAGCCTCCCTAAATAATGGTTTACAGTGTGTACTAAAATCAACATTGTACATGATTTTTATTGCTCGTTTTTGCAATGACAAAAGTTTTTTTATAATTACTACCTCCCCATACAATTGTTCCATAACTTAGATGGGAATGTATATGTGCATAGTAAATGCATTTCAAGGTATTAAAATCTACACTGTTCTTAAGCATGTTTATTGATACCGTAGGACTGCAGGGAAATAGTAGAGGGTTAATTATTATTTTGAATTTTGATAATAAATGCAATAATAGCCATATTAGGTTACGAATCGTGGCATAATGGACATGACTTGACTTAATAAGACACCCAACACATATTAAATACCTATCTTGCGTAAATGAGGCATTCTTTGTCAACGTTATGTGTTAGTCATCACAGCCTTTTATAACAAAAGCCATTTATGTGCAACATAATCACACCATTTAACGGTCTGAATGTGTCTTATATAAAAAACAAAGGGTTTTGACTTACTGTTGAAAAATTACTCTGCCGCAGCTCAAACCTTCGCTCGATTGGATTTTCATAAAATATTTCCATGACCACATCAGATTAATTTCATGTTTAAATAACATCAGTTATAAGTAGAATATAAGTTTGCTGATTCGGGGAATGTAAAAAAATGTGCAATTTAAGTTTAGAAACAAACAAGCAAATCTATGTAATATATTCTTATAATATAGAATAAAGAGTGACCACTACTGAATTAGACATCTGTTTATGGTATTGCGGAAAAGTTAATATGTTTTATGCGTACAATAGACTTTCAGATTAAATGTTAATGTGAATGTTACCGCGAGCTTTGTATGCTAAATAAAAACGAAAGCCCTATTTGTACAAAATATGTTTGGTTAGCAGCAACCGGTAAAGAGGATATACATTTTACCATACATAATTCGTGCAAATACAGTGGTAATAAATAACTTGTGGCTACAAGGTTTCATTATTTTTTTACTTTATGTTGTTAATACTGATGAGTTTTGAATCTCCTTTGCTATCAACTATTTGTTTGTGTGACACATTTTGGTCTTTTAAAAGCATATTCAGTATTTATGGTCGGGAAACTATATATAGCTTATGGTTTTAATCCTTCATTAAATACCTTGTAGGTACCTAGAAGTATTGTGTTGAAATTTTACGTTTTAACAAATGCTATTGTCCATACTCCTTTTATCTATGATGCTATTAAGAAACTAGGAGCGCCTGCAGCTACAAAATACTAGGTGTTCATTTATGTAATGCGATAAGTGTCAATAGAATTGAAGGACTAGCTTACTACGATATACACCGAGAATTTCTCGTGGTGTTTAATTTGTAGAAGACCTTAAAACAGTAAACATGGGCCTAAATTATGTACAATTTCCAATGTTATAAAATAAAGTCTAAAATATGTATGAAACAATTTATATAACATCATTTTATCGTGCTCATGTATTTTTGCTATTTGCGCGTCAATTTGTGCGCGTCTCAAGTCAGTGAAAATCGTTGTATGTCTAAATAAACCAAATCAAATCAAATCAATTAACTTTCAAATAAACTCGCATAACCAACACAGTACCTGGAGTTACCTCCAAGATCGGTTTCTTCAGGTGCGAGTGGCTGGCTCTTTGTCTCAACCTTCTCAACAGTTTTCTGCTATTTCCGGGGTTCCTCAGGGGTCACTTCTGGGCCCGGACTTGTTCAACATATTCCTCAATGATTTTGTTCAGCATTTGGGTTCAAATGTACTGCTTTTTGCTGATGATGCCAAGATCTTCAGAGAGATTTCATATGTGAGGGACAGCGAGGCTCTACAGAATAGTATTGATACTGTCAGTGTGGTGCCAGATGAATGAAATGTCTTTGAATGTCTCAAAAGTGCTCCGTGGTAACCTTATTATTAATCCTATTATTCACCTGTATAAACTTGCAGATCAGCATCTTCAACGTCCTTCAAAGGTCAAAGATTTAGGCATCATAGTCTCTCCTGACCTCAATCCTCAAGAGCACATAAACTAGGTATATTTGTAAGAAAGCCAATTCAGCACTTAATTTCATCACCAGGGTCAGTCATGACAGATTTTCAGTAGGCCTATTAGCACTGGTAACTCTTTATATCCAGCTAGTCAGGCCCATACTTGAGTTTTCTTTCACATTTTGGAATCCGTACCAGTATGGTCAGATCTCCTGGCTGGAAAACACTTAAAAGCCGTTTTGTTCGCCTGGTTGGTCTACGTTTGAGGATGCAATACCGGGCTGTTCCTGTTCATGATCTGCAACTTCAGTTGAACCTGTTGCCTATTTCTACCAGACGTGAGGTAAATGATATTTTATTCTTGAAGAAGTTGATCACATCCTCCATTGATGCTCCCGACCTGCTCTTGGAACTAGACTTCCGCACTTCACGTAGCCTTCGCCATACCCAGCTGTTTGCGAGGCGGCAGTACTCGACACAGTACATGTACAACAGTGCACTTCCTCGTCTGCAACGTCTGGCAAATAGCCTACGGGTGAGGTTCATAAGGTCCAAATTTCACAAAGTCCAATGGTTAAATTATTAATAAACAGAGCGTTTCACAAGGTCCAAATTTCATAAGGTCCAAAAACTATGACATTCAAACAATCACCGTGTTACAATGTCCAAATTTCACAAATTCCAATGTTAAAATATCAAATAAACATAGCGTTTCACAAGGTCCAACGGTAAAGTAAAGATAAATAAACTACAATGTTTGTATTTTTCTTGCTAGTTCAGGGGTAACAACAGTGAGTAGCTTATATTGATATTTCAATAAACAACACACTTTATTACCTTCCCTGTATCAGCAAACACATGTAATTGTTAAACCTAATGCTATTGAAATATTGAATAGTTCTGATGACATTTTTCAATAAAACAGCCCCTCTTAGTGAAAATCCAATCAGGCACATGGACCAAATCAAATCAAATCAAATCCATTTATTGCCATCAACACTAAAATACATGTATAGCAACGTCATACAATTTCATCACAGTATTTATTTATTTCCCAACGGATTGCACCTTTTTACAAAATATGTGTATACAATTGAAATGGCATTTGCAATATATCCATTAATCCATTAGTATATCCATTAACCTACTTAATATGTTCTACAAATTCTTTGACCTTATACACACATAAATCACACAAAATCTTTCTAATAGTAAATTTAAATTGTCGTATTTCAAGACATTTAATGTGAGCAGGTAACATATTATACAATCTTTTGCCAAATTCACTAAAGTTATTGATTGTGGTCATAAAATTACATTGGTTTGGACGGAGAAAAGTGTTTTGTCTGGTAAAATAGTTATGAACTGAATCATTTGTAGGGAAATCTCTAATATTATTTTTAACATACAGTAAACAATCTAAAATGTACAGAGAAGTGACAGTTAAAATACCAAGTTTCTTGAATAATGGCTTACAATGTGTTTCACTGTCAACATTGAATATTGCCCTAACAGCTTTCTTTTGCAACAGTTTCAGCTTTTTAATACTACCAGAATGGCCCCACACAACAATACTATAAGACAAATGACTTTGAATGTGAGCAAAATAAATGGATTTCAACACATCTATACTAACAAAAGGTCTAAGTTTTCTAATCATAAATGTACCCTTGGCAACTTTTTTACAAATCATATCACTCTGAGAATCCCACTTAATGTTAGGCTGTACTAATACTCCCAAAAACTTAACACTATCTGAACAGGTACTTGATAAACTAAATTCAATATTCTGTGTTTTGCTACTGTTTATACACAATGAATTGGCAGCAGTCCAGTCCTCGATTACAGAGTTAGTAGTATGACATTCGTTTAGTATGCAGGTTTGCTGCTGCATGGGGTTTTTAAATTTAAGGTCTATTTATTAATTTATTTTTGTCTATTGGGGTAATGAAAACTGTACTTCATGGTCCATATTATTACCGTTTATTTGTGTTTTGTATTAGGGGAGAGTGTTGTACCTTTGACCAATTTTCACTTAAAATTTTTTTTTGTAGAAACAGGAAAGCTCCAATCGTTACTCCAAATAACTCCAGAATAATCAACGATGATACTTAACTGTTTCATCCATAGAATAAATATTTGTTCCAGTTCCTTGTAATGACTTTTACATACTTTTAGTAATAAAGAAGATTTGTTACATAGTGGTCAAAGGTTCTACATGCAGTTGTACCTGTAATTATTAAACTAAAATAGCTTGCAACAAACACAGTTTTTAACCTCCAATGCAAGGTGAAGTAGTCCTCTGGTGGCTGATCTATGAAATAGTTTTATTAGCTTCCCTATACAGCCTCTAGATTCAGGGCTACTTCACTATTTTATGACTAATGGTCAAAGGTACAACACTCTCCCCTACATCATTTTAAAGACTTTATATTTTTGAAGACCACTTGTTTCTTTTATCGTCCTTCTTGTTGTTAATAATTTATTATTGAAGCTAAAAGTTATGTAGGACATTTTTTTTGTCTATGATGCACAGTCAATCATCGTCTAGTAAACGTCAGTTATTATTATCAAGTTGTAAGTGCGAGTACGAGACTGTCCGAGGGCGAAGGTGGAGTCTGCAGTCGGTAGCACGAGAGTACGTAATAAACTGCCGACTTTTTGCTCAGTCCATACATAATTCATGGCGAGCGGTCATTTTGTAAACGAGGAATGCAGCAGGAACACTCGGACCAATGGTGGGTCCAGGGGTGGTGATGTGGGCGGAGCGACTCCCCTCATTGGTTGTTTCACCTCGCTCGTTGATTGGTCCTCAGCGAGGGGGTGGGAGCGCGCGCTTCAGTATCAGTTCAGTAGTTGACTGTGCGTGATCGCGGGTGCGTGTTGTGCCATGTGTCTGCTATGAGTTGCCCGGAGGTGGTGTACCAGGCTTACTACCCCTATCTGTACCAGAGGGCCGGCACTTCTACCGGACCCCCTAGGACACCTTCGTTCCCCCCTTACTACGATAGGGTGAGTGGACATTCCAAATACCGTAGGATGCCAGTCGCATTCTTTTTAAGGATCCAAAGGTTCTTCAGTGGTCCAAAGGTCATGTAGGCTTTGTTTTGAGAAATGTTTGAATGTGCAGCATTCCAAGTTTTACTCCAGATGTGTGACCATTCTTAATTTTAAGTAATTGATGGGATCAGGGGAAAAGAGTTGTGGCCAAACGAGTTAAAAATGAACCGAAAAGTATTGCATAATTGATCTGTATGATGATAAATTCGGAGATAAACGAGGGTAGGAAAGCATACTTGTACAAAAATGTTGTACCACCACATACTTTACTTGATTGAATTGACTATGTGCCGGATGGGCCTAGAATGCCATTGTAACATTCCATTGTTGTTTTTTGCGATAACCTTTAAAATCTATGAATATTTTAGATTAATCCGTGATAATATATCTCCTACAAGTATGTATATTATTATCATAACGCTAAGAATAAGTGTTGAGACAGCCTTTTAAAACGATTAACAAAATGCCAGCGCCAGCTAATTACGGACATATCGGCAGCCAATAAAGAAAGGATACGTTAAATTTCACGTCTGTTATATTGATGAAATTCAGTAACCCGTTTTAACATATTTACCTAAAACCGAGATTTCGGGTGGATGCGTCAACATTATATCGATACTTTTAACCATGAATACACATTTACAAACACAAAAACTACCCTGGTCTGTGGCGGAAATGTCAAAAATAATGTTTACAAAGTTAATTCGCATGATATCCTATTCCTACAATGTGCGTGAGCGGCTGGTGTTTTCCCTTAGGCTTGTGAAACAAATAGAAACACGCGTATTAATAGGCCTAGGAATAAAAGAGCAATCCTCAGTTTCCAACAATTATTTTGTCTCTCTAAACAAATTTTGTTTCTAAAGTCGCGGGCCTACCTTTATTTTTTTGGCGAAGCGGCAACGGATCTGAAATCGTCTTTTAAACATTTAACAAATTTGATGTTTATCACCTTATCCCCATAATCCAGTATTTTATTGCAAATACATTAAATCTCCAATGTTTTGCAAATGTAGACCAACAAAACACGGTTTTGTCTCGATGATTACGCCCGGTTATCACAAAGGCTTACCCAGAAATGTGTTTGTGGGCCTGTGATAATTGTGTATTTTATGTTTTTATGCTACTAAATTTTGTTAATGTATTCGTGTATCAAAATTTGCAAAAAAATCTATTGATGAATTCCCATGTTCTATTTTACTTTATTTACGAAATTATATTGAGCAAATTAATGTACATTAATCCAATGTTTCTGCTTACACATATAGTACATATGGGCTCAAGTATACAGTAGCCTAAATACTTATTATAAAGTAGAGACTTGGGTTTAGTTTTGCTGTGTTTGTGTTTAAAAGAACTTACTTAATTTCATTTTATACATTTCACGGCAATATAATTAAAGTATGATATACAGTTATTTCACACACACAGTTATTATACACACACAGTTATTATACAGTTATATAAACAATGTTAATCGTATATTAGATAATATAATGCATAAGATGGTATCAATAACAAATGCTGAATATATGAAATTTCTCTTGGAGGCATACAATGCAGAGATAAAAAAATTATTCAGATAAAAGAAGAGAAAACAAGTTAATAATAAGATTACATTTAAAGTTACGGTACAGGTAGACTAATGCTAAGTTTAAAGTTAGTTGTGAACTTGCCAATTTAAGTGTAACTAAGCGCAACTCAAAACAATAATTAACTTATCACGAGTTATTACGTGCTTTGTGAAAAACGCGTGGTCTTCTCACTTTTGAAATTATATAATGTGTTATTGAATGTCTTTAAACTGAATATAGACATTGGCAAGCGTCACAATCAATAGGTATACAAAATTAATATGTTCATTGTTTTCGCTAACAAATAAAGTCCTTACACTATAAAAACTATTACAAATTAAAAACTCTTTAAGCTGTCTCTTAAATTTAAGAAAGTCCATTTCGCTCCTGAGATCATTTAGGAGGCCATTCAAAAATTGACAGATTTGTAAAACATAAAGTTTTGTGTCTAGGAGTGTTCAAAGTGTAGATCTTGTTTTATATATTGAATTTGGTTCGAGATGCTGACGAAGTTCACAGTTTTTCTTAAAAAAAGCAGTGTGTGAAAAATGTAAATACACGGTTTTTAACTGCAAGCTTAAAATTTAGGAAACCTGCTCAAATCAATAGAATTATTTATCTTTTTTATCGGATCCAATCTTAAAAATGTGTTTAAAAAAATAATTTATCACAATACCCATAAAATCCGTTTAGATAAATCGGCCAATCTAGAGATATGATTGAGACGTGTCAATAAAAACAATATTGCGAACGTGATATAAATCAATAAAATAACAATTCACTACTGTATATACTTTTAAGTGATAATAACATTAGAACATAAAAAACGTGGTAATTAAAATCTGGTCAAGAGTTTTTCAAACAAAACATGTAGGCCTATAACAGACAACAATATGTATGACATACACGACTGATTTGGAAAGAAAAAAATCATAAGACTGGTGGTTGTATTTAAGATTGTAAAAATAAAAAATACAACAGAGGCGTAATTAAACAGATCATTTAACATCGATGGCAGATAAACGTATTCGAACGTGTTGTTGCTTATGCATATGTTGCTTATGACCACAGACAAGGGAAGCTTATGACGAAAACCCAACGGTAGATTTCAGGTCTAATGTAAAAATATTTTGTTTTAATCACGTTTAAAAGGATATTAAATATTATTTTTTAACTAAGCCAATAATCTAAATTAAAATTTAAAGTTAATTAAACAAGTTAATTAATTAAAATATTACTACCCAGGATAGAAGAAACAGTTCAAACCCGAATTTATATCCTACTGAATGGATTTCCTTGGACAAACAATACTACATAATAAATATTAGGCTACAAGCCCGGCCGGAATCATTCTAAATTTCAATCGGCTAAAGATAATTAATAACGATAAGGTATAATAGTATGCCGGTCGAATCTTATGGAATATAAGATTAAATCTCAATGATGAAATGTTTGACATTTATACGACATATGCGAATGTTTAAACAACAATGTATACTGAGCTCGATCGTTCAATGAACATTTGTTGCACCGTTGTACGAAGAAAATAATCTATAACAATGATTCAACAACGATAACGATTGAAGAAAAATATCTTAACAAGAATCACAATTGTGAGGACAATTATAAGTAAATAAATAGTTAATGGTATGAAGACAAGTATTCAATGGTAAAATGTTCAAAGTTAACATCGCAATCTAAGTAATATTTAAATACACACAGAGATTTATGTTAAGTCCAGCTCTGTACAGAGTAAAAGCAGCAACGGTTGTAACTAAGCGCGTGTTTATTATCAATAAAGGTAAATGACATCGTTAATATCACGGTATGTAGGAATGTTAATCAGACTGGGTTTAATGTGTTGTAGTTTTCTCTATAATTAAATTTGATTCATTTCACCCTCTCCCTGATTAAATTATAACGCTGTGGATTTTATTTGATTGTTGTATAATTAATTTAGCATTAGCATGCAAGTTTATAGCTATTCAGCGTGGTCGTTATTTTTTAATTAGGATTTTTAAAATAATCTTCTGCTTTTGAGTTAAATACTTAAATGGTCCTGGTAAATTTAGCAAAAGAGTTAGCCATACAGTATTTAGATCTTTCAATTTCAACTTTACAGCTATATTTCGTTTATCACAATTTTACATTATGAAGGGCATTTTAAAATCCGTAACACTTTACTTATAATTATACTTATACTTATTAATTATACTTATACTTATTAATTATTCTTATTTAAAAACCCCTAACTAATAAAAGTGTTTCATCTGTGCTTGAAGTGTGTATAAAAATTACATGATGATAAGCGATTTATTAACCATAAAATTTTACTTAATATTACGAACTCTAGAAGTATAAAACATATTTAAGTGTTTCGTATTGTGTTTGAAGCGTGTACACATTTTCGTTGCACAGACAAAGAAAATGTGAAGCACAGAAAAGGGACTGCGTACGCTATTTCCCTTAACTCGTTGGTCTTTTATTTATTTATTCTGTCTGACTTATTATTTATTTATTTTTACGGAAAACACCATTTTTACAATCGTTTTACATTGTGATACATGCGACAAGATGCTTATTACATGAGCTGATAAATGTTGTACAGATACATCAGTGATACATGCAAAGATTAAAATGAAAAGATGAAAAACATGTTCAATGATAATGACATGCAGTTGTGATAACAATTGAAGAGTGAAAGTTGAATTAATTAGGTAATCATAATAATTAATTAACATGCTAGGTGAATAACAGACTATAACTATAGGTAACAATAACAAATAAAATATATAACATGCTTGGTGATAAATAATCTATAACTAGTTGACAATAATAATTGGCAACAATACTGACAGTGGTGATAGATGCAATACGGAAACTAGTAATACAGTAGTGATAACAATAACAGACTAGAAAAACTTCTGTGGCTGTAGCGAGATAATCGCTCCGTTTCCATCCAAAAAATTACTAATGTCCCCCAAAATGTTAGTTAGTAGTAGACCTCTTGTCGCATTGTAAAATTAAAAACCTATTCCGGTACGTGTTTCATCTCAGGTTGGGGTTTAGTGCATTGATATCACGATGAGTTTATGTTTTCATAGACAATTTTACATTACATTCTATAGTTTTTAGTAATACCCAGTACCTAAATACAGAAAGCAATCAGAAGTAAACATTTAGTTTATTTATTTATATCAACAGATACAACATTTACAAAATAGTTTTTGACTTTCCGTTTGTACGATTGCAAGAGATTGTTGGTAAACTTGAAAACGCACTTTACGTGTTTATGTGCCTTAATATAATTTAATCTGGGTGAAAAATTTATTGAGGAGTAAATTGAATGATAATAGTTATTAATTTGAATGAATTATA